CACCCCCGAAAACCCCTCCCCACCCCTTCCCTTCCCCAAATCCCGCCTAGCCACGAAAGAAATGGCCACGAACGAAATTAGCGACCGCCCAGCCATCGCGATCGAAATTAGCCACAAATGGCCGAAATCAGCCGATTTTGGGTTAAATCCAACCATTCAACCCGAAATTCGGCCGATTTCGGTCATTCGGTTGTCGTTTTCAGGGAGAAGTGCGGCGTTTTCTGGTGGTCGTTTTCAGCGGCCGATTTTCCAGGGAAAGGGGTGGGTGGTCGGATGTCGCCAGCACTAAGAGAGGGGAAGGATGACTGGGCGGCGACCGACACTCGAGGGGAACGGTGTTGGGCTTGTCGTGGGTTGCTGCGGGGTGGTTGTTGGTGGCAGCAGGCTGCTATGGGTGGCTGGGTTTGGTTTTAGGATATTTTTTTTTTACATTTTTTTTTAATTTTTTTTTCAACCAATTACATATTGACACGTGTGCAAAAAAAATTAATTCACAATTGTTTACCTAATTGACCGGTTGTAAGTCATTTGGGTGCAATAGAAATTAATACCCCCTAAAGTTGGGAGTGATAGATAATAATCGAAAGTTCGGATTAATTTGGGCGGACAAGGCAAAGTTCAGATTAATGGGAGCAATTTTTCCTTAAGATAAAACTTTTAATATAGAAATCAATCTTCAATAAAATACCGTTATTATATAATACAATGTATCCCATTCCCCTCCCCAAACAGAAATAAAAAATTAAATAGACATGTTATTACATACATTGTATAATCGATATAATCAGTCTCTTAAGTTGAACATGAACCAACCTTTCTAGATGTTTAAAGAAAATAAAAAGAGATAACAACTTTTGTCTAGGGCTGCCAATGAGCAGATACGTTTGTGAACAACTCGGGAACAAGCTCGGTCAAAGCTCGGTCAAAACTTGTTTATTAAGTATTAAACGAGCCTGAACAAAAATATGAGGCCTTTATTAAGAAAGAAAAGAAAACAGGTCCAAACCTGAACAGGACCTGAATTTTCAGGTCTGGACCGGACCTGGACCGGTTGGAACAGGTCCATTTCAGGTCTTTAAAACAGGTCCAACCCGGTCCATGTCCAATCTGGTCCCGGTCCGGTTCGGTTCGGTTTTGGACCAGTGTTCACCCCTAATGACAATAGTACAAGGCGTTGAACTGGTTAATGCCGAAGCCGGTTGATATATTGCTAAAGTATGTGTTTGATGCGTTGGATATGAGTTGAGTTATGGCTTCGTCGATGTCGGTTTGAGATTTGTATTGATCAGCCTTAGCATCCGTAGTGTAACATGTTCCCATGATATTATCATGGCTGGGTTGCGAGTTAATTTGAATTAGGAAAAAAGAAAGGGTGAAAAAAAGAGTGACTTTAATGTTAGAGATAATAGAAATGACCATGTTGGCAATACTAGTATTTGATGGTTGAAGGAAGCAATCTAATAGTGTTTATGAGAATAGCTTATGTACCCGGGGGGGGGGGGTGGGGAACATGGTAAGGCATTTAACCTTCATTGATTAAGTAAAACCATTCAAAGAATTGGGTACGGATTTATTTTGTTGATTCATTTATTGACTTGCTCAATGAAACTCTTATTAGCGGCACACTGTGTGATACTGTGATTAGATTCAGTACAATTTCAGCACCAAAATAATACTAATAAAATCACATTTTTGTACAAAAATCAAATAATTTGTACCAAATTTTTTATTGTTGAAATATGTTGATTTGCACATAGCTTTTTTGGTGCTAAAATATGTGATTTCTGTGTACCAAAATCATATATTTTGGTAGTTATGTGAGATATGGTACAATGACTTAATCCCAGGTTCAATCATAAATTTAGAGGTGTCTATTCAGATATGCGCGTTGGGTTCGATGAGTTGGGTCAGGTCGATGCTAAAAAATGTCAATGCGAGTCAAAATCTAAATTGTTTTTTTTTTCTAATGACTTGGGTAAGCTTTTTGACACCTCTACCCGTATTATCTGTTGATGTATTAACTGGGTTTTCATTTCGGTGACAGAGAGAGGCAAGGCATCAAAATTAAATTAGTTGACTTTATTAATTAATTGGCTACCACTAATGACTTGGTCTCTGATTCCCTTAATAAATTTGGGACAAACTTTTAAATAAATCCGACGTTATAAAGTCACCCTAAAATGAGTAAAACTTATCCTAATATGAATAAAAGTGACCTAAAATTTTATAAAAGCGACCCCCAATGTAGAGTAAATTATTGTACACCGAATGTATACAAAAGTTACTCTTTGGTCTCTATTTTCGATGGAATTAACTTGGTCTCTGGTTCCCTGAATAAACTTGCTCACTACTTTATATGGATTTAAACTTGGTCCTCGATCTTTGGTTCCCTTAAACGTGGTCTCTACTTTACATGGATTTTAACTTAGTCTCTGGTTCTTTAATCAACTTGTTCTCTAGTTTATGTGGAGATAAACTTGATCTCTGGTATCCTTACTAAACGTGCATGCACAATATATTGTTTGAAATAGTGATTTTGTACAATTAAAAGATTGATACCATTCCATAGCCCATTTGACTAGACTAATTAAGCTTTATTAGTCTTGATTAAAAAAAAATTAATATCGTACCTGGCCTGCAACTAGAAATTATTTAATTTTTCAAATAATGCAAAATAGATTAATAATTTTTTTCCACAATATTTTTTTTTGGGTGTTCACCCGATTCACCCTTTGGACTAATCTTAATTCAGGGATCAGTTTTGGATGGTTATGTTTCAATCTCCTCTCAATTGTTATTATGGAGGATTAAACACGCGGTCCTCCCTACCAACTATCAAGTGTAGTCCCAATCACCATTACACTAACAACTAATTGGTCTTTTTTCAGCAATATTTAATTAGGTAAAGAAATAGTGAAACACGTTTATCCAATATTCCTTTATTCGTTTATATGATTAAGCCTTAATATGGAGTAATGCAATTAAACTTATGTTTTCCATAAAAACTAACTTTTTTTTTTTTTTTTTTGAATAGAAACTCTTATTTATTATAGGATATTTTGTGAAAAACTACCTTTTAAACTTTGAATTTTGTAGGTCGAAAAAAAAATTAAAGAAAAAAAAAATTTAGATACAAATCGAGAGAAAGTTTTAAGATAAAATTTTGCGGTATTCAATTTTATGTCGACATTATTTTGAGAAATAGTCTCAAGTAGTTGGCACTATTTTAAGATATTTTTTTTCAACACCAACTTGGAAAATTATTCGTCTTTTTTAAAATACTTTTTTTTTAAAAAAAAATAAAAAAAATTAAAAAAACTCAATTTTAAGTTCATACTAGATGAAATCGCACGATTTATTTGAATTTTTAAATAATTTTTTTTAATATATATCTTATTCCCCAATTATTTTATTGTAAAGAAATTAATAATCTCGTATTTAATTGGCTACCACTAAAATTTATTATCGAACATCATGAAGTTCGTGCGAAATTTATTATCGAACATCATGAAGTTCGTGCGATGCACGGTTTGTTTGAATTTTTTAAAATAAGGTAATATTTTATATTTAATTAATTTAAAATGGGAAATTTCATTCATCAATTTTGCTAATGTGTCATTTAAATTATTTAATTGAAAAAGAAATTAATAATCTCGTATTTAATTGGATACCACTAAAATTTATTATCCTACATAACACGCTGAAAAAACTAAATCTTACGTGGCTCTCTAAAAACTCGAGAAAAAAATTATCCTTTCATATATATATATATATATATATATATATATATATATATATATATAGTTTTGGGGCATCGTGCTATGCACAGGTTGTTTATTGAATTTTAAGATAAATTTTGAATCCGATATAACTCATGATCAGTTGACCCTAATTGACAAGACTACATATTAATAAAATTCTATTACATTGTGGAGTATATATATATATATATATATATATATATATATATATATATATATATATATATATATTATTTTAACCGATTAATATATATTATATATGGATAATTTACGTTTTGAACTACTTTCTTTATTCCAAAAATATTATGGCACAAGAAAACAAATTTATATGATAATTTTTTAGAACTATAATCTAATAGGATTTTTTTTAATAAAATTATAATTGAGTTTGTACATCTGAAATATTGGTATAAACTAACAATTTTATCCTACTAACTTTTTTTATCTTATATTAATTATATTTAAATCTATCCAACGCGAAAAGTTGGAACGTCACGTGTCTCTGCCTCGTAATCTGGCTAAAAGTTTAGCTTTATATAATAGTTATTATATGATTAGATTAGATTATATTTATATTTATATAATTACAAATAAAAGATGATTAAAGTTAATAATATTCAAGTTTATCAATCCTTCAAGAACAAAGGAAATAAAGGAAGACTATTCAATGGCTACATAAAAAATGTAGTCATTATAACTATTTTCAATCTTAACCGTTTAGATACTAATATTAATCTAGTTCATTCATATATTTGACTTCCAAATCATTTTTTTTTCGAAGAAAAATCATAATTTATTTTAAAAACTAATTAATTTCTTATAACCCAAAAAAAAAAAAAATGAAAAAATAACTTCTTTGTCGCTGCCATTGGTGCAGTTTCAATGAATCTCCATTAAATAGGTATGGAGGAACACAATTAACATGGATAGGAGTAAATTATAACCAAACAATCAATGGAAAACTGCCAACTAACCTAGAAAAAAAGGAATAAGGTTTTATATAATTGATAGTTTTATACGAGTTACAGTACATGGCAAATTGGATAGGATAATTATGCAGTTCATAATTACTGAATCATTGCTCTCCGATCCATAATTCTTGCACTAATTGATGGATTTCATGTTAAGCAGTTAAGGGCATTGTTTTGTTATTTATATGTTGCAGAAATTTATCAATGGAATAGTTTATTGTGTACAAGATTAAGGAAAAACATTTTAAGAAATTTTTTTGGTATTTTTTATGCTCAACTTAAATCAACAATCCTAATTTATATAATGATAATCAAGGGTGTAGATTTTGTTTTTTTAGTCGTCACAATTTTATTGTAACCATTGCAAAACTGTCCAGAAATAAAATATACTTTTTTATACGTTTTTTAAAATTACTTTCGGAAAATATAACTATATAATCTCCTTATACAAGTTGATAGAAAAAACGTATATCTTCCCATCTTCCGTAATAGCCATCAATTACATACACCAAAAAAAAAAAAAAAAAAAAATGGCTCCTATCCTCCCAAAGATTAAGCTCACACTTTTTTTGGTCATTTTATCCTTTCTTATTATTACCGTTAATGCTCAACTTACTTACATACACCAATACTGTTATGATAGTTTTGGTCGTTATAGCCTTTTAAGCGACTATGAAACCAACGTTGAAACAGCAATTGACGAACTCGCATCAAGGGCATCAACCACCTACTACGGCAAGTACGCCACTGGCCTTGGCGAAGACCGGGTTATCGCCGTTTTTTCATGTCGCTACGACATAACCAATGAAGATTGCCAAGATTGTGTTGCTAGTACCGCAAATAATGTTTCAAGGTGCTTCAGCGATGTAGAAGGCCTTATTGTGTACGAGGAATGTACTTTACATTACTCCAATCGCTCCATTTCCGGAATTATGGAAGATAATCCTCAGATAATTTCTTACAGTACAGGACTTGATGAAGATTTCAGGTTTAATCAACTTTTGGACAATACTGTCACTGATCTAATCAAAGATGTTACCTCTGAATTTGCTGTTTCCTCTCGCTATTTCGCCACGACCACGGCAGAATACTCGTCTAGTGAAACCATCTACGCGCTTGCACAATGTAATCCGGATATTAGCTCTATAAATTGTAGATTGTGCTTGCGAACAATTTATGATGATTTCATGAGCAACTATACAGGTACAAATTTTATTTTGATTCAATATCTACTCGACGGTCGTAGTTTTATGAAGGAAATTTTATTTAATTCACCATCTTTTGTATTTATTAACATTGAATCTCTATTGTGGATGTCATATGCCTTTTAATTGCTAAATTATTTTTGATATTCAAAAAAAATAAAAAAAACAATAAAATAAAATGACAGGTACAAATTATGGGCAGATCTTTACACGAAGCTGTAGGTTGAGTTACATATTGTCTAGTGAGGAGCTAAGTGAACCTTGGATGTTTGCACAAACTTTTGATGAGCGCAACCGTTACCGCACACCCAGATATAGTCCTCGATATTTCGCATCATCAGGTATGATCAGTTGTTCATAGCACCTATGAGTCTATGACTTAAGAGTCTAAGAGCATGAGTTTTTTTTTTTTTTCTTTTTTTCTTCTTCTTCTTCTTCTTCTTCTTTGAAAAGCAATATTACCCCACTTTTAAGTCATGAAATTTCCAAAAATAAAAAAAATAAAAATAAATAAGAGAGGATAATAAATGGTGTTAAAAAATCAGCCCAAATTAGGAAAATAGAGCGGTCCGAATATAAATAATCTGGTCTTTGGATCGAAAAATATATGGCTATTATGTTTGATCTAATCCATAATCGATTAAAATTAGATTTTGGACTTAATCAACTTTTTATTCAAAACTTGTGTAAATAATTATTCGATTATATTGCAACTACAATATGTTAGGAATATTTGTTGTAATATAAGGAAGTATTTTCAAGGCTATATTCTAAAATAAGAAGATCGAAAAGATGATCTTGTGACAATGAAAGAGTACGGTGTGTCGTGATGCAAATCCCTGACTTGAAAACGAAATTCCGGCGCAACCGGGGTGAACTATTGTATTCGCCGGCACGTTCTCTAAGGTTAACACACCACTTCCACATAAAGACACTTTTGGGAGGAAGGTTGGAGCCAAGTAACTTATGCCCAATATAGAGTATGTGTTTAAGCAAGCTTGTGTTTGATATGTATTTCTTGAATATGTCAAAATCAGAAAACATCCTCCAATTTATAAAGATGAATGAAGAAGATGAAAGATCAGGGAGGAATTTTCTATGAACAAAGAAGAGAAAATCAGAAATATTATGGTGATTAAAAACACCATAATCAACCTCTTAAATGGGGGGTTACAAGAATCAAACAAGAAGAGGAATCCAAGGGAACCGTTGGAGTCCAACGGACAAACACGCGCCCGATCAGGTGGAGCTGGCCCGATCGGGCGGACACTCCCTTTTTCCAGATGTCTTTTCGCGCCCGGTCATGCACTAGGTCAGGCACCCGATCGGGCGGAGGAACTCCATAATTTTATGACTCTTCTCGCGCCCAATTAGGCGGGTCTTGCTCAGTTAGGCGCCCGGTCGGTCGCTCATATCTGACCCTTTGAATTTCCTTTCTTTATTTCTAACAATCCCCCAATAAAGGAAGGGAAGATAAGCCAACAAAAGATGAGGATAAGCAACATATTGGGCATAAGAGGAGATCAATACATAACACTTAGATATTACATAAGTAATTTGAAATCTAGTGCTTAGTGAAATGAGACAGTGAATTACAAGTATAAGGGTGGACAAACCTTGAAACCCTTAGACTCTTGATCAAGGAGCGGACTAACCTTAAAACTCTAAGATTTAATTCAAGACCCCCACATCACATACCTTTCTCCAAAAATTTACTTGAACTCCGCGAAGAGATATGCTCTTTTATAGCCAAGCGTATTCACCTTAGGTCTAGTGGAAGCTCTAGGAAATCCGCTCAAGTTTTCCATAGAAGATGGCTAGTCTTCACAACCACACAGGTGAATCACAAGCACTTCTCAAAAGTACTTAGTCAACGGGGTTAAAACATGTTCTTAAGAACTCAACAAATGCTGCATTGTAGCCATTTATTCCCACATGACCATGGATTCATTAAGAGCTTAACGCTCAACCTCACAATAATCATAAACAACAGTGATCCAAAGTTTTAGTGCGTCCACCCAAACAATTGGATTCATTAAGAGTCAAAAAGGACTCAACCTCAAACGGTGGATCAATCAAGTGCGTCTCAAATAGCACCAACCAAAAAAGGTTTATTGATCCATTAAGAACTCAAAAAGAGTCCAGCCTCAAATAAGCATTACAACACATGCCATAGGGATAGGAAAGTAATGCTTTTCCATATGAACTTAAGGCCTATCCCCCTCGACATTTCCACAAATTATCAAGGATTGTGCTACATGTCCCAGATTTCCTTACCATAGTGCAAAATAATTTTGCTAGAATATTTTTTCCAATAAGAAAAACTAGCATGTTTTCAACATCAACTTAATTCGCACAGATGGTTAGAAAAATATATCACTTAGTTTTCACCATTAGATGATAAGTAATAAGACAACAAACCCAAGACTTGAAATTTCAAAATCAAGTCCAATCCTTGAAAATAACATAGCCGCATTAGTGAACTTTCTTCATCAACCATCAATCACCAACACTTGCCTTCGAAAAAATCTGAACAACTTTTCCCGAAAGATAGTGTATTTCACACCCTTCGTACCTAAAAAGATACTTAGTAAAAGATGGAGTAAATTTAAACAACGTTAGTCATTCACTATTAGATTTGTAAAATATTGCACTTCAACTATTTCACAAATATATGCTATGTTAAAATAAAATTCAATGCATGTCACTATCACATTGCTAAATGTATTAGCATGCTCCACTCAAGACATACTTTAAGACCTTTTTAAAGTACATACACATAATTCATGTTAAAACATACTCTACTCAAATGATAACATGAACAACAAATATCATATCATCACATAAATCTTTCCAATCACGAAACATGTATGACACTTTGGAAAAAACCAAAACTCATAATAATCATTATTATTCTGAAAATAATAAAACATATTGTCATAATCCAAATCGTGAAAATTGCTCAACAAAATTGGAAAGATAAGAAGTTCAAGAAAGTTGTTAACTACAAATCACATGTGATTCTCGACACACATTGTAGAAATAGCACAAAAATATATATTACCTTGAAGCAAGTAGTGAGAAACAAACTTAATCACAAGTATTAGATTCTCACAAGGTACTAACCACACTCTTGTACCACTCCCTAGGTAATAATCTCAAGTCAGCTCATACTTGAACTTATAACTCACACTTGAACTTCAATTCACATTTCTTATTTTCAACATGGAACTCACCAACAACCCACTTAAGTCATCACTTAGAAGGCTTAACAAACCACTAGAGGGGAAATTATCATCAAAGACTAAAGATCTGAAATAATTAAGTCATTCAAGTAAGACCTACATCGTTCCATTAAGACAAGAAAGACAAAATCACCTTTACTCACAAAAAAGCCTTGATCATTCCCAACAACACTTAGTGAATTGACATTGAAAAGACTATAGAAGAAATATTAGGAAACACACTCTATAAAAAGATAGAAGAACTCTAGGCAAGTTAAAATTATCTAACTTATCTTCAATAGTTTCTTCTAAAATAATCAATCACTCACGTCATCAATTCGTTAAGTTAAGGAAACACTCTTCACACATTGCATAGAGAAACCAAATCAGGACAAATAAATAATAGTCTTTAGCATAACTAGTCACTTTCATGCTTTGCATCAAATAGAAAAGAAACTAAAAATGATGCCTCTTATTCCTCTTATAGTCAACTTGTTTACTCATAAACAAAATAAATGCATATATGGAATATAGCAATCAAGAGACATGAGAATTTCATATGCATAGCCAATCACTCAAACATGACATAATGCATATAATTGCTAAAAACAAATTATTAAAGTAAAGGAGATAATTCAATAATCCAATATTGTGGTATATGGAGACAATCCAACATTCACAAACAAAGTCATGGAGAATACTATCAATTGCTTAAAAAGCAAATCCAAAATATCAAATAAACTAAGACTTTGAGTCCAACATTTATTCTCATATACTTTTCCCCCACATTGGACGATATAAGTCTTCAACTTAATTATTGAAATTAGACATGATAAACTCTATTCCTTTCACATGGGGCATATAAGGACTAAATTCCTACTACAAAATTCTACACTCATAGAATCATAACCCCCACATGCCAAAGTTAAGTCTAAAATCAAAACATAGTTGATAATGGAGGAAAGGAATACGTGAACATAACTCCATAGTGCCTCTAATAATTTACCTTAGCGATCAATGACGAACAACCCAATGACCACCACTTGTAATGATTGTGCATTCACTAAGTGATTTGAGCTATTTAAGGCACATTTGGATCAATGTTCTTTACTTGAGTCATATTGAAATAACGTGGAGATTTACTAGACACAGCACCAAAAGAAATAAAATTCTTAAGAATCACTTCCCACACATAAAGAAATCGATAAATATTCCTTAATGAAATGTCAATACCAAACCAAATTGAACCAAGTAAGAACAAATATGAACAAAACACGTAATAAGAATTAATAACTCTTGAAAACTCTCTCTTAAGGTAGATAAACAAAGAAGTAAAATAACCTAACCATTGAATTAAATAATAATCCAAACATTATCATACTTTCAAAAATTCATCATAAGGTTGACACACTACAATATCAAAAATAGCAACCAAAAGAATTTCAAGAGTATTAAAATTAATAAAAGTAGTCATGCATTCCTAACAAAAACTATAGCACAATTAAAGAGTCACAAAAACGACCACTAAGGATATTCTCCATGGAGGAAAAAATACACACATAACTCTTCAAAAGATAATCACATAATTCTCATTCAAAAACTTCTCATGTTTAAAATTGATAGAATCAACACAAGTTATTGAGAAGAATTATGCAAATAGAGCATCATTATGAGCATGAGCAAAGTCTTCACAAGCAAGACAAATATCTACATGTATATCAACACATATGTACCAAAAGTAATAAACTTTGACATTGCATTACACTCCACATAATCACAAAATTCATGGTAAAACTTACAATTTAACAAGTCTTAAAAAAACCATAATAATCTATCAATATAGGCATGTAGATATTAGGAACTCAACAACACATTGCTAATAGAAATTAATCTGAAGCAATAACTAAAAATTTACTTTCTCAATGAACAAAACAATACATGTTAAAAAATCAACAAATTGGTAAATAAAACCAATCAACATATTTCTAAGTGTTAAGTTCAAACCACAAGCATAGAACAAAGACATAGAAATAATCATGCCATGTAACATCACACATATATAACATGGATTATACTTTAACCTGTAAACTAATAATCATGTAACAAATACTACATTA